CTTAAGGAATGTCTCTTCTATGCCGATTTTGCTGAGAGTTTGAATAAAAAAAAGAAAAAAGGATTCTGGATTTTGTCAAATGCTTTTTCTGCATCTATTGGAATGAACATGTGATTTTTGTTTTCAGTTTTGTTTATGTACTGTATCACACTTACTGACTTACATATGTAAAACCATCCCTACATCTCTGATATGAAACCCACTTGATCATGGTAGGTTATCTTTTTGATATACTATTGGATTTTGTTCACTAGGATTTTGTTGAGGATTTTTGCATCTATATTTATCAGGGATATTGGTCTGTAGTTTTCCTTCTTTGTTATGTCTTTTCCTGGTTTTGATAGTAGGGTAATATTGGCTTCATAGAACGATTTAAGGAGGATTTCCTCTTTCTCTATCCTGTGGAATAATGTCAATAGGGTTGGTACCAATTCTTAGTTGAATGTCTGATATAATTTAGCTGTGAATCCATCTGGTCCTGGACTTTTTTCTGTTGACATTTTTTAAAATACCATTTCAATCTCACTGCTTGTTATTGGCCTGTTCGGAGATTCCATAACTTGCTGGTTTAATCTAGGGAAGTTGTATATTTCTATTTATTTATCCCGCTCTTTTAGGTTTTCTAGTTTGTGCATGTAAAGGTATTCATAGTAGCCTTGAATAATCTTTTGTAGTTCTGTTCTCAAGCTGTAATATCCCTGGTTTCATATCTAATCGAGTTTGTTTGGATCTTCACTCTTGTCTTTTTGGTTAATCTTGTTAACAGTCTATCAATTTTATTTATCTTTACAAAGAACCAGCTGTGTTTTTTTCATTTATCTTTTGTAGTTTTTTTTGTTTCAATTTCATTTATTTCTACTCTGATCATTATCTCTTTTCTTCTTCTGGGTTTGGGTTTGAATTGTTCTTGTTTCTCCAGTTCTATGAGGTGTGACCTGAGATTGTTTATTTGTGGTCTTCCAGAGTTTTTGATGTAGGCATATAATGCTATGAACTTTCCTCTTAGCCCTGCTTTTGCCATATCCCAGAGGTTTTGATAGGTTGTGTCCCCATTATAGTTCAGTTCAAATAATTTTTTAATTTTCATCTTGATTTCATTGTTGACTCGATGGTCATTCAGGAGCAGGTTATTTAATTTCCATTTATTTGCATGGTTTTGAGAATTCCTTTTGGAGTGAGTTTTCAGTTGTATTCCACTGGGGTCTAAGAGTGATATAATTTTAATTTCCTTGATATAATTTTGATTTTCTTAAAGTTACTAAGACTTGTTTTGTGGCCTATCTTGGGGAATGTTCCATGTGCTGATGAATAGAATGTATATTCTGCAGTTGTTGGATAGAATGTTCTGTAAATATCAGTTAGGTCCATTTGTTGTAGGGTATAGTTTAAGCTCATTGTTTTTTTTTTTTTTTTTTTTTTTTTTTTTTTTAGATGGAGTCTCACTCTGTCACCCAGGCTGGTGTGCAATGGTATGATCTCGGCTCACTGCAACCTTCACCTCCTGGGTTCAAGCAATTCTCCTGCCTCAGCCTCCTGAGTAGCTGGGATTATAGGCACCCACCACCACGCCCAGCTAATTTTTGTATTTTTAGTAGAGATGGGGTTTCACCATGTTGGTCAGGCTGGTCTCGAACTCCTGACCTTGTGATCTGCCCGTGCCTCGGCCTCCCAAAATGCTGGAATGATAGGCATAAGCCACCATGCCTGGAGAGTTCATTGTTTTTTGTTGTTGTTGTTGACCTTCTGTTTTGATGGCCTGTCTACTGCTGTCAGTGGAGTATAAAGTCCCCCACTATTATCGTGTTGCCATCTATCTCATTCCTTAGGTCCAGTACTAATTGCTTTATAAATTTGTGAGCTCCAGTGATATGTGTATATATATTTAGAATTGTGATATTTTCCTGTGAGTCCTTTAATCATTAATGTCTCTCTTTTTTTTTTTAACTGCTGTTACTTTAAAGTTTGTTTTGTCTGACATAAGAATAGCTACTCTTGCTTGCTTTTGGTGTCCATTGCATGGAATATCTTTGTCCACCCCTTTACCTTAAGTTTATGGGAGTCTTTATGTGTTAGGTGGATCTTTTGAAGACAACAGACACTTGGTTGGTGAATTCTTATTCATTCTGCCATTCTGTATCTTTCAAGTGGAGCCTTTAGGCCATTTACATTCAATGGTAGTAATGAGAGATGAGGTACTATTCTATTCATCATGCTATTTTTTTTTTTTTTGGCCAGGATACCTTGTTTTTCCCCTCTTGTGTTATTGTTATATAGGTCCTGTGAAATGTATGCTTTAAGGAGCTTCTATTTTGATGTATTTTAGGGTTTGTTTCAAAATTAAGAGCTCCTTTTAGCAGTTCTTGTAGTTCTGGCTTGATAGTGGTGAATCCTCTCAGCATATGTTTGTGTGGAAAAGACTGTATCTTTTCTTCATTTATGAAGCTTAGCTTCACTGGGTATAAAATTATTGGCTGATAATTGTTTTGTTTAAGGAGGTTAAAAATAGGACCCCAATCGCTTCTAGCTTGTATGGTTTCTGGTGAGAAATCTGCTGTTAATCTGATAGGTTTTCTTTATAGGCTACCTCATGCTTTCATCTCACAGCTCTTAAAATTCTTTCTTTTGTCTTGATTTTAGAGAATCTAGGGCTTTCTGACAGCTGAACTGTAATAACCTGATGACCATGTGCCTAGATGATCTTTTGTAATGAATTTCTCAGGTGCTTTATGAGCTTCTTGTATTTGGATGTCTAGATCTACAGCAACACTGGGGGAGTTTTCTTTGATTTTTCCCCCAAATACATTTTCCAAACTTTTGGATTTCTCTTCTTCCTGAAGAGCACCGATTATTCTTAGATATGGACATTTAACATAGTCCTACACTTCTTGGAGGCTTTGTTCATTTTTCTAATTCTTTTTTCTTTGTTTTTGATGGATTGGGTTAATTCAAAAGCCTTGTCTTTGAGCTCTGAAGTTCTTTCTTGACCTGCTTGTTTGATTCTATTGCTGAGATTTTCAGTATATTTTGCATTTTTCTGTGCCCTTGATTTCTAGAAGTTATTATTTTTTATTTGTGCTATTTCACTGAAAAATGTTCATTTCATATCTAAAATCATGCTTTTGGTTTCTTTAAGTTGGGCTTCACCTTTCTCTGGTGCCTCCTTGATTACCTTAATATTTGACCTTCTGAATTCATTTTTCTGGTAATTCAGAGATTTTATCTTGGTTTGGATCCATTGCTGGTGAGCTGGTATAAACTTTTGGGGGTGTTAAATAACCTTATTTTGTCATATTACCAGAATTGTTTTTCTGGTTCTTTCTCATTTGGGTAGACTATGTCAGAGGGATCATCTTGGATTCAAGCACTACTGTTCTGATTCTTTTGTCTCATGGGGTGGTCCCTTTATATGGTGTTTTCCCCCTTTTCCTAGGAATGGGGCTTCCTGAGAGCCAAACTGTAGTAATTGCTTTTGCTCTTCTGGGTCTAGCCCCCTAGTGGAGCTACTGGCCTCCGGGCTGTTACTGGGGAGTGTCTGAGTGTCTGCAAAGAGTCATGTGATGTGATCTGTCTTCAGGTCTTGCAGCTATGGATGCCAGCACCTGCTCCAGCAGAGACAGCAGGGGAGTGAAGTAGACTCTGTGAGGGTCCTTGGTTGTGTTTTTGTACGACCAGTGCACTGCTTTTGTGTTTGTTGGCTGCCAGCCGAAAGGTGGTGCTTTCAAGACTATCAGCTGTGGTCCTATAGGGAAGATGCAAACTTGCTGTAGGGGCACCTGGTAAAGTATTCAGGATTCTCAGGTAGTGAGTGGGACCATAGGACTCCCAAGAGATTATGACCTTTGTTTTTGGCTGCCAGGGTGGGTAGAGAAAGACCACCAGGAGGGGGCAAGGATAGGCATGTCTGAGGTCAACCTCTCCTTGGATGGGGCTTGCTGTGGCTGATGTGGGGGATAAGGGTATGGTTCCCAGTCCAGTGGAGTTATATTCCCAGGGGGATTATGACTGCCTCTGCTGAGTCATACAGGTCACCAGGGAAGTGGGGAAAGCTGGCAGTCACTGGCTTCACCCTGCTCCCATGCAACAGGCAGTCCTAAAGGCTGGTGTCACTCCAACTGTGCTTCTCCAAGAGCACCAAGTCTATTTCCAGGCAGCCAGTGACCAGGGTTGAGAAGTTGCCCTAGACCACAAGCCTCCCCAGTGAGAAAGCAAGCAGATTCACAGATTTTTGGCATCTTGGGGAGCCTGCAGTGGTGATGCAGTTCATTCCAGGGGTCTGTGAATTCTTTCAGGTTTCCTGTTATTTTCCTGAGGTTCTTGGAGCAAAAGTTCACTATATGTCTCCATACACTGCTCTGTCCATCCAAGTGGGAGCTGAAAGCTAGTCCTACTTTCCATCCACCATCTTAATCCTGTGTCTCATTCTGTCTTTTAAATGAGACCAACACCTCTAGGTTTTGCCATGGTATCCAGTGGTCCTTATTATTATGACTTTGAGTTCTATCTACATTTTTTTTTCACATGTATATTCTGCTTTATTTTGAATTTGGATATCAACATATATTTACATAGAAACTGGTTTGTATTAAAAATATTTTTTAATCTAAAATTGTTTAATGTTTGCAAAATATTGAAAATATTTTGCCAGAACTTTTATAACTTTATCACAGGACTGTAGAAGGGGAATCTATTCAAGTTTTCTCTGCCATATTGCCAGAAATTGCCTCTACTGACTTTAAATAATAAGAAAATTGAGGCTAGGCTGAATTAAAATTTTCCTAAGGATGTATAGCTTTTAAAAAGCAGGATTAAAATTCAAATACAAATTACCACAATGCCTAGCATTGTGCTTAATGTATAACAGAGTCTCAATAAATGCTTAATGTTTAAATGTCTACATTTAACAAGAGAAATAATAAATATTTGGTATTGCCATCACGATGGAGGGAGTCAGAGTAACAAATCTGTTCCTTTCTAAACTTCACAGCTGAAAGAAGGTCTCAAGAGCCACCGATGTCTTAGATATTCCTGTATTTCAGACTCTACTACCCAGGCACCCAAAGAAGAAATGATTAACCCTGGATGCTGCCTCAGTCCAGGTAAGGAGATCTGTGATGTGATGCTGGCATTTTGGGAATGCTTAGTAATTTATCATTCAAGTCCTTTACAAATGCTATACATTTCTTTTCTGAATCATCCTGATCCTTCATCCAGTAGTCACGTTCTGAACAAAGCAAATGTTAACAGAGGACGAGGCAGCCAGCATTTTAATCCAGCTTTAAACGCTGGCTGAATTTCATGTAATTTACAAAGAGCTGTGAATAAGAAAGATCTATTACCTGTATTATTTCAAGAGAGAGAGAAAGAAAACTAATTCAGCTACACAAAATGTATTAAATTATTCATTGGGGCAAACAGATTTTGATTTCCAAAACAAATATTTTGTTTAAAACCTGTAGTTGAAGTTTAACATTTATACTATTTGAAATACTACTCAATTATTTTAACTTGTCTCAGTGGTTCAGATCTCATCCTCCTACATCGATTTGTAGCACAGCATCCAGCCTGATGCTGTCAAAATATAGGCCAGACTATGTTCCTTCCTCCTCTGCTTAGCAACGATGAACAGCTCCTCATCTAGCAGACTCAGAGCCCAAATTCTAACACAGTGGCAATGAGGTACCTACAAAATCTTACCTCTTCTTCTAATTCAATGGCTTCTTCTCCTTTGGCCCTCCCTCTGCCCTTTGGCCACTTCTACTTCAGTCCTGTTGGCTTCCTTGCTATTCCTTACACATGTCTGGTGGGCTCCCAGTTAGAGCTCTAACTCTTCTCTCTACCTGCAATGCTCTTCCCCTAGAAAGTCTCATAGCTTGCACTATCCCTCTTCCATTCAGTCTTGGTTAAATGTCATTCTCCCAGTAAGAACTTCCTGAATAATCCATTTACACTTGAAGCCTGTCTGCCTTGCTCCTGCCCTGACATTCTTGATTCCCTTTTATAAATTTTGTCTTCTTTTCTCTGGAACATTTGTCACCACCTAACATGCTACATGCATGCACATGTGCGTGCACATACACACACACACACACTTTAAAAAGTACTTTTCAATTCATTGTTTGAATACTACTACCATAATGTCAGATTCACGAAGTTTGTTTCTTTCTCCAAATATATCCTCAACTCCTAGAACATTTTCTGACACCATTGCTAAATATTGGACAATGAATAAGTAAATAAGTAGATTAAAATTCCACTTATTGAATCTTTACCATCTAAGACACTTTTTCTATGCATTTTGCATGTATTAATTTACTCAATTGTATGAGGTAGGTAGGTCTTCATATATTTCTAATGTTATAGTTGAGAAAACAAAACATGTAGAGATCACATAGCTCTTGCAGTATATATAATGAAACTTCAAAGCAATTTCTCTTTAGCTGGGTATGGTGGCACACAACTATAGTCCCAGTTACTCTGGAGGCTAAAGTGGGAGGATCACTTGAGCCCAGGAGTTCAAAAATGCAGTGAGCTGTGATCATGCCACTATAATCAAGCCTGGACTACACAGTGAGGCCTTTCTAGTTATTAATTTATAAATAAATAACTAAAAAATAATTACTCTGTTAAAATATGTGACTGATTTTTCTGTTGCCTACTGAACAGAGTAAATTTTTTTAGCTTTGCATTCAAGAATCTTTGCAACCTGCTCCTTTTCATCTTCCCAGAGGATTGACTGCTATTCTTTTCCAATTATACTGGGAAGTTTCAACAGAAAGAAAGGGGGGATAGGGAAACGATGATAAGAAGAAGAGGACGAAGACCTATCATAACCACCTTTGATCAAACTCTTTGTGTAACAGGAATCAGGCAAAATCTGTTATGTGAATCATCTCATTTAATCCTCATCACAGCCATGTGTGCAGACTCAGGCTTAGGGAAGTTAAGTAATTTTTTCAAGTTTACGCAGGTAGTGAAGAATCGAGCCATTATTTGACCTGGGACTCTGACCTCAAAGTCCAGGCCCTTAGTCACACGTTACACTGGGTTGAAATTAAACTCCTTATGGCGCCAGTTGCATTATATTCTGAGGGCAACTTGGGGTGAAGTGCCATTGCAGCTTTAGCTTGTCCCCTGTATTCATTTTCTATTGCTATGTCACAATTTCCCTACATTGACCAGCTTGATACAACAACCATTTATGAAATCATAGTTCTGTATGTAGAAGCATAGCCCAACCACAACAGTTGCCCTGCTCAGAGTATCACAGTTTCCAGGGTAGTGATTCTTTCTGGAGGCTCTGGGAAAGGGTCCACTTTAGCACTTATTCAAAATCCTAGCAGAATTATGGTGGTTGCAGAACTGAGGTCCCCAGTTCCTTGCTGGAAACCAGCTTCAAAGGCAAAGACATGTGAAGTCTTTCTCAAGATTGCAATCTCTTACTTCCTCTTACTCTGATCTCTAGATCCATATCCAAAAGGCTCATGTAATCAAGTAAGCCTCATTCAGATGATTTCTCTAAGATCAACTGATTTGGGAGATTCATCACATCTGAAAAATCTCCTTGGCTATATAAACAACTGTAATCATGGGAGTGACAATCTATCATATTTGCAGATCTGGGCATTGTAAGGACATGTAAACCAAGGGACTATCTGAAAACATCTTAAAATTATCTCATCCTCTTCTCCTTCCCTTCATTCTGCACCAGACATCTATTCATTATCCTTATAATTGCATTGTCTCTTTCCTGGAAATACACCATCAGACCCATGAGAATGCTGCCTATACACAAAGAAGCTTGGCCATCGGCCTCAGACCCTCTCTCCCATCTTGTTCTCCAGGGCCCTGAAAGTAGGCTGAGAAGAAGACAAGCATGAAACCTCAAAGGCTGTGTATATCACATGTATTGGTTTCCTATGGCTGCTCTAACAAATTACCACAAACTTAATGGCTTAAAACAACACAAATATATTATCTGACAGTACATTAGATCAGAAGTTTGGCATAGGATTTACCTGGACTAATAAGCAAGGTATCTGCAGGGTTACATTCTCTTCTGGAGGCTCTGTGGGAGAATCACTTTCCTTCCCTTTCCCATCTTTTAGATTCTGCCTGTACTCAGTGGTATGTGGCCTCATTTCCTCCATCTCTCTGACCTTTCTCCATCATCAGTCTCTCTCTCATAACCATAGGCAGGAAAGGACACACTCGCTTAGACTGAATAATCCAGGATAATGTTAATCTTCATACCCACAGTAGACATGAAAAGCCCCTGTTGTCATGGAATGTAACATATTCATAGGTTCCAGTGTTAGGGTGTGAATGGTTTTTGGGTGGGGGGGAAGGTGTGCATTGCTCACCATAACATCATGTTAAGAAGTTTGGGCTTCCTTCTAAAGATTAGTAAAATCATTGAAGGAGTTGCAGCATAAGGTGGCTAAGACAAATTTGCTTTTAGAAAGATTGCACAGCTCTAGGTCTGAAACCAATGAATGTAGAATGGTCATATTAACTAAAAATAACTAACGCAGGGTGTACTATTAACCACACTTCTGGTACTTTTTGATGTGTGTTGCCATCCTTAACTCATTTAACCTTTATCAGTTAAATTTATTATACTAACAATATCCCCATTCTATAGGTGAAAAAATGTATGTACAAAAATTTAAATAACGTCACCTAAGATTTCACAATTAGCAAGTGCCGGAGATTCAATCCACGGAGTCTGGAGTCCAGAGCCAATACTTTACTACATGGAACAGCCCTAAACAATGCAGAGAATCTTTCTTCGCAGATTTTGAAAGAGTAAGGAAACATGGTTAGGCACGGTGGTCAGGGAATGCTTTGTAGATGCAGTAGGGCATGGAAAGAGGCCATGAAGAAGAGAGAGGATTCGAAAGAATAGAGAGGAATGAAGAAAGACTTCTGATAAATATGCTTGCTACCATCAATTCTATGTCCTCCGTTTTCTACAAAATATGATCCTTGGCCCCTATAATTGCTTGACTCTAAATGTTTGAAAGAGTGAATCAGAGTTATTATGGAACAATATGCACTGATGGGTATAGTCTCCCCCTTTGATTGGTACTTTGCAAGTTTCACAAATAACTAACCACCTGAGAACTTGTCTCCCTTGAACTGAATTCCATTTTGATTTTGTTCACCTTCTTGATTCTCTTCTTTTTGTGCCAAAATTGTACTTTTGCAAAGATGTTTTCAAAAGTGTTTTTGTTCTGATTTAATGTGCCCAGTTTTCAACATTCTGTTTGAAATTGAGGAGTTGCTGTAGGAAAAGTGAATTCATTTGAATGGTGAAGTTTCCTGTGAACAGAAATAAAGTATTGTTTCACTCTGAAACTCCTGAGATTCAGCCACTGTTATTTTATTTCTAGATTTCCTTCCATAGGCTTCTTTAAAAATTTCCAAATGACATCAAACAACCTTCTTGTTATGAAGTAGAAAGTCCTTTTATCTGTAGCTAGGAGGATGCTGTGGGAATTATCAAGCAGGGACAACCAAGGCTATTGTTTTTATAAAAATATATAAACTTTAAAAAGAAAATCTTCCTTCTAGCCACTCATTGTGACATACCTCCTCTATATCTATAATTGTTAAAATCAGAGATGGTTACAGGAAAATATGCCATCAACAATTAGGTAGTGAGAACATCCATGCTCTCACATCCTTCAAGGGAAGAGACAACATTGGCAGAAGGGAGATAAGGGAACGCATAATTTATTGTTCAAATATTTTGTGCTAAGCAAAGCACTGTGTTACATATTTCACATACCTTAAGTCATTTGGCCATTTGAAAACTCCCTGAGAAAACTATTTGTACCTCCATTCTACATTTGAATAATGGAGAAAAGCATAGTTTTAAGTTAAGAAAGAGACAAAGAGTTTTAGACATGAAGTCCTTGCCCATGGCATCACACTCTATGTTCTCAGTCAATGTTTCCCAGCATCCATTTCAAGTTTTCAGAAATGTGTATCTACACTTTGGACAATGCTAAGTATGTTGTGCTGGAACTTTGAAAAAACACCAGAGTCCACCACTATCCTAAGTTCTCCTGGGCAGTTAATCATAGGTTATTATTCTTCAATTCCTGACATATATTAAACATATCGCACCTTAAATGCGCTACATTGCCATTCATGCCTTTCTGATGCTTGAGGCATACTAGAAAGAGAACAGATTAGCTGTAGAGTGTAGTAGGCACTATACTTCTGAGGACATGGATGCAGCTGGAAACCATCAATCATAATCAGTCAAACACACTCTCAAGAACAGAAAACCAAAAACACACACGCATGGATAAATCCTTGCACTCATAGGGGTTCTGGAACTGCACAACAACCTATATATCTTCGCACTCCTGGGCGTAGACTGGGGATCAATCATCATACCCAGGGCCTATCACGGGAGCGCGAGAGCGGGAGGCATGGCCTGGACCATCATTACCTGATGTACCCAATCACAACGTTGATGCGGTGCTGACCGGTTGATGGTGCAGCACCGCCAACCATGGCAAAGGTATACCATATGTAACAAACCGACTGCACGTTATGCACATGCTACTCTAAGTCATCAAACTGTTATCTGGCTACAACTACAAAGTATAATCAACCATAATTAAAAAAAATCTAGTTTGAGCGACATATTTAAAAAAATATAATAGTGAAAACATAGAAATTATTCTCATAATATAAATAACTAAAAAATATTTCATAACAAAAAAGAGAGACAAGAGCTAGGCAACCTACTCCAAAAATCGTGGGTCATGTTTGTGGTAGAACCTGAAATATATATCTCAAAGGCCCTTTTCCAAACTTTCGTTTAAATTTTCATTACCCAAGCGCTTAAACACTGATCACCTGATCCTTCAAATGTCTCACGATACATGATTAGATATTTATGAAATCTAAACCTATTATATTATTATCAATCATGAATTGTGAGTAGGATATCTGTACCATTAAATTTTTATTGTGTACGAAGAATGATCATCTTAATGTATCCACTTTCTTTTGAATCGAAAACAC